GTGCTAACCCCTACACCACGGGACCTGCGTCTCACAACGCGTCCTTCGTCGCCTGTGAAGATTCTCAAAGCAACCAAAGCACAAACATCCCGCTCAAGGATGTCCTTCGATCTCCAGTTAACGCTAAGGGGTACCTGTCTAGAAAATATCTAAAAAGTCATGGTTGTATACTACCAACAGGGTTATTCAATTTCTACCTTATTCTTTTGCGTTGACCAAAAATAGTTCGGTAGCTTATCTCACAATGCCTTTTCGGGCTCAACGGGCGGAATCTCTTACGGCGTGTGGTCAGTAATCTCATATTCTAATTTCGGAAGTATCAACCCAAATTGATGACCCTGCGGGAAACACTTTTCAGTTCAGTAGAATATGAAAAGGTATTTAATTTGTTTGAGGAGTCAGATATCCTGGCGTATGTTTTCTTTTTCACCTTGATCGGGGAAGTTCCGATCATTTGCAAGGAACATATTTTACAACGGCGTTTTTCATCTAAGACAAGGTTTGCAATTTTGTACGTTGTTTGTATCTGTAATGAAGCTCCCGGGGAGATTTGAAGTCCCGTCGCACGATTCAAAGTCCTGAGTGCTAACCACTACACCACGGGACCCGGGTTTAACACTGTCTGCTCCGTTGCTTATGAGAGAGTAAGGATGATGTGAACTTCTATAGCATTAAATATAAGATGTTAGAGTATATAACCAGTTGCTTTAGAGAAGATGGAATGGGCCTTAGGCTTATTCTTGTTCTTAGAGTTAATCCTAGGTTTAATCTTAAGCCCATTCTTAGATTTAGGATTAGGTTAATGTTAGTTCTTAGAATAATATGGGTGTTGTAGATATTATAAACATAAATTAAATGAGGTGAGTGTGTAGAGTGGATGGGTGTTAGTGATGAATTAGATGGATTTTAGTGTTAGACCGAGATGAGTTATACCTAGCAGCTGTTCCGGTCCTTTATCCGGACAATTGCCTACCCTGAAAAGCGTGACTGGAGTCTGATTTTAGGACCTCATCAGCGGATGGAGATGGGTACGCTCATGTCTTAGGAAGTGTTCAAATGTGAGATCTGAACCTAGTGTTAGTTGTATGTCTTGGGTTAGTAAAATTGGAGGAATTATTAAGGATAAGGTAAGGGGTTAGTAGATGTATGGTTGGGACATATGAAAATGTTAATGTAACTTACCTGAGGCATACTTTTATGTCCAAACTTGAGCTTATGTTTATATTAAGATTTAGGCTTAAGCATGAGCTTTACGTTTGTTTATTTAATCGGCCGCAACATATATAACACAAGGTGAAAATGCAAACTATAATGTTAAAACTACGATAGTCAAAACTACAAGCTTCAAGAATGAGCCTATAGATTGCGAAGCTGAAACTAGGGAGTGGCTTAGTTATGATGTTAAGTAGAGTAATGTTGTGGATACGTTGTACGTTGGCTATATGCCTAAGTATTAAGTGGTATGGTATCTCTATGTACTGTAAGAAATAAAGAAGTGGGATGTTGAATCGATACTTTAGGTAGTTAGTGATTGGTAGTGGTAGAGTGTATGCTTTGTTTGTATTGCTATTTTGTTTGTGTATTACTGTAGATGAAGTTATGTTTATTAAGATGATTAGTGTTGTGGCGACGTAGTTAGTGCGTTACTATACAGAGTTTTATTAGTGTTTGTGTTGAGGTGAGTTATGCAGCGATTGGCATGTTGCCAATGTATAGGTTATTATTTTATGACTGAGTTTGTTTTAAGGTTCTGTGGTTAATTAGGATCGTATAATAGTTTACAGTTCAAGTTATGTCGCTTTGATAACCGGAACTAGTTATGATATAGACTTTATTGGGCATTATGGTTTTACTGTCATGTAGGGTTTTATGCATTAATGTTCATTTTTTGTATAAGTGTGTGGGAGCGCTAATGACAGCAACTGTTTTGAACAAAAGTTTACAGCCAAACTTACACTGATAAAAGCGTGTAATTTCTCTGTGCATGCACTATTTATCGATTACAACGGATTTAGCCAGAGAGATGAAGCATGATCGAAGGTATTTTAAAACCAATTTTAAAAATAAGATTTTTTTTTTAACTGCTGCATGACAGGTAGAAAGTTTCTATTAGCAAGCGCTACTCTGTTATTAGAAGACTGGTTTAATAACCTCGAATACTGTGGTATCTAATTATTTGTATCACCAAAGTGTTAAACTTTTGTTTTTTAAACTTCTATTTAGGAGTTACTTCAAATGCGTTGTGCATAAGTTTTTTACGAACACCCGGAACAATATGGAACTAAAAAGCGAGAAAAGTGTGGTGCTTACCGATGAACAAAACTTTAGAGTGTTCAGCCAGCTGCCTTTTGGATGTCATGTAAATTTTAAACTACAATTTTTATCAAAATCATTTGCATCTCCTAAATTTACTAAATATTTTTTGGTCAAAGTTCTTTCAGTCGTTTCTTACCGTAAGAATGAGAAGAACATTTTTAAGCTTCTTAAACTTTAGGTCTTAGTGCGTGGTAAAAATGGAAAGTCTATAATTCTCAACAATACTTTCAATTTTTACAGTCGTTTTTCGGCAAAATTTTTTGTATGGAATTACGTCTTATCAGTAGAAAAGTTTTATGAAGTTACCCATCATTTCATTACTCAGTGACTAGTTTTCACAGTAACTCTATTTTCACAGTATTTTCTAAAAGCAAACACTTTTTTGTCTTTCTACTGCATTGTTCATAAATATATTTTCGTCTTCTAATTTTTTTTAGCAATAATCTAAAAAATAGTTACATAGGTAACTAAGCAAATATTTTTGGCTCGCCTTTTATGTAAAGGTCGTGTTTTTCTTTTTACATTAGCGTTATTACAAAATTATTTGAACTGTAAATTTAAAATCTTTTAACAAAGTTATTGAATAAATAGCTTAAAAATAGACCCTAAAAATAAGGTCTTTTAGCCGTTCTGTTAAAATTGTATATGGCTGCAAAAACGGTTTATTGATGCAGTTTAGTTTTTTTTTAAAATCACAATTTTTAGAGTTTGGCCACCGGCTATGGAGAGGTATTGCAGAAAAATACATTTGATTTTGATAAGATTGGCACCGGAGCGATTTGTTATGTAAAAGACTGCGATCGAAAAGAATATAGTTTACGACTAATTGATCCCGGCTCCGACAATGATCGGCCGTCAGAGAAATGGAAAATTTCAATGCAAGTTTTTTTAATCAGTAGTTTTTTCAAATCATTCTTGTTAATCTCAGTTCTAATTGCTCCAAGCATTGTTCGGTAATGTGTGTACTGTAGTGTGTACTGTATTCAGACCGGAAAACGCTGAATTCTCAAAATATTACTCTCACCTGATAACTTTTACATTTTCTGGCAACGTTTCATACGGTTTGAACTTTTCCAACGAGAAGGAAGCCAAAAAATTTCTTATTCGTGCACAATTTTTTCAAAACGGTACATAAATTTGTTTCAAAAGTTTTTATTGCTGTATAAACTGAGAAACTTTTTTATTAACGTTATCTGTAAAAAAAAATGCAATTTAGAACGACAAAGTTGTGCGCCACAAACGACTGTTCACTCTGCATTAACTAGAAAGCGTATTGAAAATGTAAGTAGCAGAAGGTGTAAACGATTGACAGCTTTTGATTTACCAACTTGTAGATCCTAGGTTTACGAGGATCGCTTTAGATACTCTTTAAAGTATATTATTAATACAGCTCATACTTTGTAGGAAATGAACACGAATTTTATTAATACCTATTTTGATTTTATTGCTTGATATAATTAGGCTGAGGAGCGTAGTTCATTTTCGCTTAAACAGCGCGACGCCTCTAATGAATTTACAAGTACTAGAAACGAGAGAACATCTGGAAGATGCCAAGATAAGTTCATATTTCTTTTTTTGTAAAACGCAAAGCGAATTTTACAGTTACTTTACATGTACTTTAAGAGCGTAAAGTTAAATTACAGATGGTGGTTGTTCTTGGTTTTCTTAGTGAACGATTCACTTAGCGGAACTTCAGGCATTTGCTCTTACACAATTAAGAGAATGAATAATGCATTTATTTTAGAAGTGGGTTTTACCAACACAATACAAGAGAAATCGAAGAAAAAAAATATATCTAAATTTGGTATCAGTCTTCCTTACAATTTCGAGTTAGCACTGTTTCCGGTCGTTTTTTTTTCTAGCGTTTCCTGCACTTTTTTTATGTCGAGCAATTACTTGTAAGATTAATCAACTTTCATCACCTTTTAGTGCTAGAGTTTGGTATGGTGAGCGTATGAGACCTTTTTTTTTTCTACCTTTTTTTTTAATGCTTATTTTCCTCTCTTTACTTGTCTTCTGCAACAAAAAATTTCTCGTAAAATATTTCAGCCAAAATTTTTTCCAAGTGTTAATTTTTTACTTCTCAAGCGATGCGAATGTTGAGCAGCTATTGAATTTGTCTATTTGTTATAATTAAAGAAGCGCGTATTGACTAAATCTAAAA